TATAGTTAAACTCTGCCCTGATCCCAATATATTTTAGTGCAAGAGATCATCTGACAGCACCCATATCAAGAGGAAAATGTAATCCATTGTTTCTTTATCTGCTTTTCCAATCCCTTTGAGGTCTGATCCTGTCTTGAAAAAAAATATGCCCAAGCTATACCCAATCCTTACATAATCTAGCAAAATTACATTAAAAACCAGTCAATATCCATCACTACAGAGAAGAGAGTGAATTTAGCCAACTTTCATTTAGAGATACTGAAAGATATACTGACATAAATATAGGATAAGTATCAACTTGGATATACAGCGTTTTTCACTTCAATTCAACACTTTTTCACTTGACTTCAACACTCATGCATGTGGAACATCCCATGCACATGTGTCTGAGTCAAGTGAATGATTGTTTAACTCAAATGAAAAACACTGTAGAAAAACCTGGCATCATTGCAGTCCTAATTACAATGAATGATATTAGTTATAGTTGTGAGGGTGGACTATCTCTTTCTGAAACCGCTCATAGTTCCGTGATGAGGGTCGTCAACAGTGGACGTATTCGTTCTACGTATTGTTCATGACAGGGTTTCTGTACACCCACTTTTGATAAAATAAATGGGGACATACAGCAACAGGCCACCAGTGCTCCAGGCAGATTAGGACGTAGAAAAGAATGAGGATCACAAACCGACTTGAACTACTCATCTGAATAAATAAGACATTCAAACCATCATGCATTATAAATGGGGACATACAGCAACAGGCCACCAGTGCTCCAGGCAGATTAGGACGTAGAAAAGAATGAGGATCACAAACCGACTTGAACTACTCATCTGAATAAATAAGACATTCAAACCATCATGCATACCTTTAATATGATACATATAGATTATGATAATGGATACTGATTTACATCTTTATTTTCATTATATTAATTAAGATTCCTCCCTCTAACAGATGCCATCTAATGAGGTGGTGTGGTAAAAATCCACCAGGAAGTAGAACAGTCACACAGTCTAGGTGGTTAAATCCATCCACTTGGCCTGTAGGCCAAGGGCCCACAGGGATAAAAAAAAAAAAATTCATACCAATGATGAGGCACAAGCATTTGCATTCAATAAAGCCATCTAACAGAGCTTTGCTCTTTTTTTCTTCTAAAGTCAACAACCATAAATGGGACTCAAATGATTTGACTGTCAACTCACAACATTACAAAACAATGCTTAATGCTCAGCAATATAATCAATCTATATTTGCCACTTGCAACTAAACATTCTACAACAGCATCTTCCTATCATCTCTGGATAAATCTCATTCAGACATTACGTCCTATACTAATTGCAAACAAGGACAATCTCATCTTTATGAAAGGGAACTACATGCCTCAAGCATGAAATTCCTGCATAATTCCCTGAATTTTCTATATTAGGCCTTCTTAGGTTAGCTGGCCTTTTCTTCCAGTACTTGCATCTCCAAACAGGTTTTAACCTGTCTTGTTAACTTCAACCACACCATTTGAAGAGCCTGGTAGCTTCAGACACTCCTTATCTCTAAGGTAAGGACAGAAATTCCACACTCTGCTCACCCTATCACTCCTTGCAAAGTATGGACATTCACTTGTTTACAGAGGCAAAATGTAAACTCATAAAAATATATGCACAAATAGTCACATTTAATTGAATGACCCAATTTCAACGATCTTCCTAAATTCGCCTTCAAATTCCTAGTGGCATTTCCACACCTTAATTTCATTGAAATCACATATTTACTAAATTCCTCTTCCTAGGATGACAATGCTTACACAGGTTATGGTACAGAGCACTAAAATTTACTTACAACCAAGTCAAAGAGGGAAGTCTTAATGGAGTAGTTGTAGACCTCTTTCTTCAGGCCTTCTTGGATTTTTGCACCTGTGATCTATAAAAGAAAAGACCAAACAATAATACTATTACTCCTTTAGCTCAATCTATGACTGTTTTAAAAGAAAATGAAAAAAGATGAGAAACCATGATGCAGATGAGCCACATGATGGTGCAAAAAAGGAGATCAAAGATGACAAAGAGAGCAAAAAATCTTCGGACAGGGGAGACATGCCCTGGCTTAGGGATCCCGGTGATAATATCTTGCAGACCAAAGTCTGGGTAACTGGGTGAACGCACTGGAACATAGGACCAAATCTGTATCATTCCTTGTGTTTGGCATATATCTACAGAAATAACTAGTTCATCAAAATCAAGGCCAAATTTAAACAATTAAATCTAAAGCAAAGTAGGCATAAAATTTCAGGTTCAATCCTTCTTGTCAAGTTAGACAAGCCAGAGTAAATTAGGATGCAAGCTAAAGACAGAGGTAACAAAATTTGTGAGTCCCCCTTCACCAACCTCTGAGTAGCTAAAACTTATGAGAAGGTTAAAGAGATATGTGACATAAACAGTAGGCTTCGAAGATTTTTGGGAGAAAAATTAATAGAGCAAAAAATCTTCGGACAGGGGAGACATGCCCTGGCTTAGGGATCCCGGTGATAATATCTTGCAGACCAAAGTCTGGGTAACTGGGTGAACGCACTGGAACATAGGACCAAATCTGTATCATTCAAATTCAAATTCAAATTCAAATTCAAAAATACCAAATCTGTATCAGTTTGGCATATATCTACAGAAATAACTAGTTCATCAAAATCAAGGCCAAATTTAAACAATTAAATCTAAAGCAAAGTAGGCATAAAATTTCAGATTCAATCCTTCTTGTCAAGTTAGACAAGCCAGAGTAAATTAGGATGCAAGCCAAAGACAGAGGTAACAAAATTTGTGAGTCCCCCTTCACCAACCTCTGAGTAGCTAAAACTTATGAGAAGGTTAAAGAGATATGTGACATAAACAGTAGGCTTCGAAGATTTTTGGGAGAAAAATTAATATTCTTTCAAAAAGGACCCCATCTATTATCCTCAAAAACAAACATAAAAAAAAATTTATTAAGTACATACAAATACCACCAAGAGCCTATTCCATCAATGCAGAAAATGCAGCAACTGACCAAGAACAGGAAGACGTGGATAGAGTTGCTGAGACCTGTTTCCATTGGCGATCTCCTCTATCCTCCGACTAGCATCAGCAAGGACCCCTATTGTTCCTGGAGATCTGACCACATCCAGAGAAGAAATTGAATATAACTTGGGTAAACCTAGTCATAGCTTTCAGGATGAGAATCTCTAAACACAGAACCTGGAAAAATAATGGATTTCCTCTCCTCCTGGATGTTGACTCCCACCCTCCACAGACCCACCTTCTGTCTGGGTTCCCTTCGTGCTCCCTCTGCTCTCCATTGCTCGAAGTCTTCCTGAAAAATGAACAATTTCTTTACTGAAGGTTTTTCCAGTTACAATTATCTGGTCTGGCCTTGGCTATGGTGTCAATAGTTAAGCAAAAAAGTTTCTACAATTCAATGCTGCATCATGAGACCAGAATGAGGAAAAGAGCTCATTTTGGCCACCCAAAGAGACTATAATGTCCACAACTAATCCATAAGTCATGAGATTTTATGCACCCAGGCTCCTTGTGATATTTCTACTATAACTGAAGCACTAATAGCTTTTATTTTAACTGAACAAAATCAAATGTGCATTAGAACCATTATTCCCAAAAGTTTTCCTCAGGATGTTGCAGAAATAGGTTATGTTGGATTATAATTGGTCACTACAATCACTGCATTTTTCCAATATTATTTTTCCTTGAGCAAACTTTGCATGCTATAAATTGAAATGAATGCTTAAGTGTGGCCAATATTAATTTTGATGGTTTGGAACACAGCAACTTATTATATTATGGTTGCCAAAGCATGCCACATTGGCACATTTTGAAGCATTGATTTATGATGCATCTAAATTTACATCCATTGAGGTCACATTGGCATATGCTGTTCTGAAAGTAATAAAGAATGTAAGTAAAGTTATTCATCCATTCCACACTGAACAAATCTCACAATAGTGGTGACTCATTCACAAATGGTAAGGTCTCATTTAGCATAATGGCTCATTTCATGTCACATCCACAGACATCAAAAGTTAAATTCAGATGCCATCACACTCCTACCTGTCCACCTTCACATGCTGGAATCCTTGGTTTTTATAAACAATACCAGTTCACCCATTATTAGTCCTTGTGCAACAATTATTGGTGTTACAGTTACAAGAAAAGCTGTAACTCTAATGTGAAGGAGCTATTCAACCATGGGGGAAAGACCAAGAGAGCCCAGAGAATGACCACAACTTGAACTCAGACCAACTGATTATGGATCAGACATGGCATCCTCTGCAAAGTTAAACCACTAAACACTTGACATTCTTTCTCCCCTGCCATCCTCATTCACACTCTACTTGCTCTCACTATGCAGAACACATGTCCCAGTTTTGTCTTTATCTCACACGACAAGAACCATTCCAGAGCATTGCTTTGTACCCCACCATTTATCCATTAGACCTAACACTTGCACCTATCAATAGGTGCAAGTCTTGCTTCAATGACACATTAAATGTGGTTAAAGCACTCTAAAGAATATGATTCAACAACATCAAATTTGCCAACTTGAGGGGTATGAACTGCATAAACTTTAAAAAATCTTTTAACAGTGTCCATTGATACACAGCCTTCAGCCTTATGTTCGCCTGCAACAAGCATTGGGTCCAATCCTAGCCGTCAAATAATAAGTCTGAAGGAATAAGCATGTGAATATGCACATAATTAGTAAGACTTTTACATGGTCTCAACATGATAGGCCTATGCTAGGGTGACCAGACGCCATGGTTTTTCAGGCTATGTCCTGATTTAAAAACTGTCCAGGTTTTAGGAAGATGCAAAGAACCAACAGAATGAACTAAAATCCACCGACGTTTCCGGGGGGCACACAAGGATGTATATTAGATAATAAATCTTCTGGATTTAATTTTTCTTTCCATTCTAGTGTCCTGAATTTTCGCATTGCAAAGACTAATATTTAGCTATTTTCTTGAATATGTCCCCTTTTTTTCCTGAAAAATATCTGGCCACCCTAGCCTATACCCAAAATGCACAACACGGAAAGTGATGAAACTACATTTGCAAATCACTATACATTCCCATACCGTTTTGAAACCTGTGGGAAAAAAATTTAACGGCAACGTACGGTGGAGAAGCAGATAAACGAGAGATACGAAGCGAACGGATACGGCGAAAGTCAAGGAAAAACCTGGTCATATGAACTGCATGTACTGCACGCACTTCGCCATGTCCCTCGCAGTGATGCTGCGACCCATCTGTAGTAAACAACGGCACATGAGGTGACCGAGAGACAACGACAGCCGCGCGTTTCCCCCGTATTGCTGCTCTTGTGCAGGCCGTACTTAGTAAATTGAAAAATAAATACATAAATTTGAATTTATTTCTGAGACGCATTAACGTCATGAATTTGCTGCTGAATCCAGTGAGAATCCGCCACGAAAGTCCTCCAGGGCTAATAATCGAAGCCTATTCGAGAGCCAATCATGTGTGGCATTCGGAAGCTCTGGAGATCGTACAAGGTCCGACAAGCCTTCAAACACTTTCAGTGGATCCGCAAAGTTGAATTTGGCGGAGTGGAAATACGTTCCAGGTATAGGGCTTATCCTAATTATTATTTTTTTTTTACGACCAGGTCCTGATTCCTGAGCTAAATCAGAAAGGCTCTTTCCCCCCGAAAAAAAAAAAATTATTAAAAAAAATAATCAAAATTATAATCAATGTACAGCCCGCCAGAAGTTTCCAAGTATCAGAGGCTCAAGATCGACGAAGAACCTCGGGGAAGGAGATGCGGATTCTGTCACTTGGGGACATTCGGGACGCACGTCCTCGTGTCCTTGTCCTTCTTTGCATTCGGGGTCTTATTGACCTACCTTGCCTTCCTTTTCGGTATCTACATCCTCAATTACGACCCGAAGACCTATTCTGTCCTCTGCGTCATGGTCGGCGGCATCTTCGCACTCGGTAGGTGGCAAAAAAAAAAATCCATGTTATGCATGACAGGAAAATTGGATTTTTAGATCCTCATCTGTCAGGGAGAAAAAAATTAAATAACATGATAATTTGATCCAAAATTGTGTGAACCTTGGGAAATGTTGAGGTTGAATGAAGGAGAAAGATAAAGATAACGAAGATGAAAGGGATGGAGCATGGGAAGAATGTTTCACGTGTTGAAAGGGCTGGCGTTCAACGGAACGGCGCGTTGCATCGTCTGCTTGTCCCTGCCGAGTCTGCTGACGAGTCGGGGCCGAGCAGTGCTGCTTCTCTTCGCCTCCATCTTTGCCTTCTCGGGGCCAGCGATGAATCTTCTCTATAATGTCCTGCAGCTCCTGGATGCGGTTAATTGTGGACAGGTGGGCTCTTTCTTGAGACGTACTTTACGAGAGGTATATCCAGCGTGGGTGATGCTGAGTGGGGAGGGGGGAAAAAAAGCAAGCTGGAGTTCTGGATATTGATTTTTTAAATTTACTGGTTGGATCGTTCCCAATGCTGCAGAAAAAAAAGTCTGCGAATCTATATTCAAATAGCAGAAGGTATTGAACCAACATTAGTCCAATAAGCTGTACTACTGGGGTAGCAGCAGTGGCAAACCCAAAGAGAAACGATACCACAAAATGGGATCAGGAAATTGCCCTAATCCCAAGAAAAGCTATTTCCATCGCTCTCTGAAGCAGGAAAGTGATAAATTTTGATTTCCGGACGATCCCGGCACGATCAGGAGCTGGCTTACAACGCGAGTCGGAATCTGCTGGAGGCGGCGAGGCAGCCACTCGAGGCGGGATCGGATCGAATACGCTCCGTCGTCTACGACCTCAGGGAGTTCGTCTCCGGGGTCCTCGCCTCACTTGCTGGCGTCTGGGTCTCCGTCCGGAACACACGTTTGTTGCATGTCCCTTTCGTGGCGTAGGCTTAAGTCGTTCGCAGTCGACATCCGGTGATGAAATGCCGTTTTAGTGCTCTCCTACATTGTTTCATCAGTCTTACCTCATGCACTTCAAGAGGCCGAGGGACACCGTATAATGGCATGAGTAACCAGGCAACACGAACAAAACATTATCACAATCTATATATGAGACAATGGATGAGCTAACAAATGAAGATATATGTGGATGAAGTAAAATACCATGTTATTTTATGAATCGTTCCGACGGATTCATCTGCGAAGCATAAAATGACGCGATTATATTTCTCTCGAATATACAGGAAATTAGGGAGTGTGAAATGAAAATTACGTGGCTTAAATAATGTACTCGAATGAACATATATAGCAACGTTTATTAATGATTTAATTGCCGGTCTAATTTACTCATTCACTTATTCACGTAACATTTTTGCCACTGGACTAGCCCCAATAACCAAAATTAGCGGGAGTGAGAAGTGATTTCGTGGTTTCGTAAATCTGATATCAGCAAGAAACTTTGCTGATATCAGCTTCGCGATTTCTGATTTGGAAACATGGGGAGGAGGGCAAGGGTGAAGGTTTTCATTGCCTCCACGTTCACCAGACATTACCCCATTGGGTTTCTTCTTGTGTGGTTATATGAAGGACCAAGTATACCGTACAAAAGTGAACAATATTGAGGAGTTGAAGGACAGAATTCGCGATGCTATAAGGAACGTTGATGTGGACTTGTCACAGCGAACGTGGCAAGAAATTGGTTATCGCCTTGACGTTCTCCGTGCAACACACGGAGAGCACATTTCTGTATTCTAATATTATTAAACTTAAAATTAAAACTTTTTGAGATGCATTTTATGATGCAATAAACAGATTGGTTCTAACTCTTACGGTTAATTTTTTATTTAATTTCAAAGTAGTACAGGGACTTTTGGGACGCCCTGTTGATTGGTGAGGCCGAGAATGCGCATTTTCCCTGTCCATTGAATCCAATTTACGAGTCCTAGCGTGATGCGTGGGTGTTGAGCAGTGAAGGAGGTGGAGGGGGCGCTGGAGTGGCTGGGCGGGATCGGGGAGACCTGCCGCTCGAGGTTGGGGGAGCCCAGGGAGCGGTGCCGCGCCAAGGTCATGCAGGCCTATCGGGAGTGCCGAGTCAAGATGGGAGAAGTCGACTTCCTCTGCGAGGTGGGAGGCAATGAGGTCGTGGGTCGGATCGCCGTGGCTGCCTTCGGCGCCATCAGAAGTTTTACTTGCTCTGCGATACGAGTTTGTGCAGCTCGTTTTCGGTGACTGCAGCTCAGATGAACGATGACCACAATGAGTAATCATGAAGAGCCATAAGCGTAGCGTGGATGGAAAAAGTGAGGGGACACAGGACGAAGTGGGGGGGGGGCACGGGAACTCTGGGATACTGTTATCATGCATTTCTGGGTCTTTTCTTTCTTTTTTTTAGCTTCTTTTCTTGAAAAGTGGGGGCGGGGACTCGTGCCCCCACCCCCCCAGCTACGCCACTGTGAAGGGCCAGGCTAGGTTGAGAAGACATGTTGCGTCAAGAGAAAAAGGAGGCTTATAAGGAAGCTGTTGAAGTGACTTTCTCTGCTAATATTTGTACTCAAAATCACGCCCTGAAGTGGCCCTAGAACATGGACAAGTGTCATGTTCCTTTTTTTCTGAGCCGTGTCACTCTCTTCCTCTCGTCACGTTAGGGCAAATTTGCATTGTTGTACGAGATGGACGCGGGGAGCAATCTCCACGTCGGAGCGGGAAAACATATCTCTTCGTTGTTGCATGTAACGTATGACAGGTGGTGAGAGTGGTGGTGGGCCTGTGCGAGGTGGCGGGGATTCACACCGTCTTCTGTCGAGTCCTGGATCTCGGGAAGAAGGCTGTCATTCACATGTGGCAAAGAAGTAGGCCATTATCTTCTTCCGATTTTGAAAAAGCCGCCTAGGCTAAAATTTATTGGGGAAAATAATAATGTCGTTCATTAGATTAGAATAGATTTACCTTGTTGCGTTCACTAGGCCTGGGCGAGGCGTTCAAGAACATCCGAGACTTCTTCAAAGTGGACGTCGTTTTCCAGCACCACATTTCCTACAACGTAAGAGCGCAATAGAAACTTTAATAGTAGTTAATGAAAATTAAATATGAACAGACTCGACATAACATTACTGAGTATGCGTCGCACATTTGTACGTTAAACGAGACGTCCCCAATCGTGTCGACTACATGAAGTGGCGAAGAACGGGCAAATCCAAACGGACGAGAGGAAGACAAAAAGGCTGTTGTTTTTAAAACGCCTGATGGATGGAAGGAACCGCCGTGCATAGCTTGAGGATTAAGTGGGGGGCGTTTTTGCCAGGAGACGGGTGGAGGCGCGAAGGGGATGGAGCACGAGTCCCGCGTTGCCATGATGTTAGCCGTGGGGGAAAAGACCGCCTGGATGAAGAGCGCCATGGACGTCCTCGATAGCCTTCTCGCTTTCTCCGTCTTCCTACTCCTCGCCAAGTGCGCCCACACCGCTCTCTGTTGTATAAACGCCTATGACATTAGTTGTGAGGGGGGGGGGAAAGAGAAAATACTTAAATATTCCATTCAAATAACTACCATGTTTCAAGAAGCAAATAATAATTTTAAAAAATCAGCAGTATTTAGTGCCATTTGAAATTCCAAAATAATTTTACTGACGCTGGTAAACGAAGTAAGGGATTTTAAAAAGCTATTTATGGCAGTTTTGCTCATGGTTGAAATATAGCTAGACCTTGTCTTGTTACTAGGACTCATTTTGCTTGAAAATTTTAATAACTTTTTTCAAATGAAAATGACAGGTTCACAGGTGCCAAAAAAGCATAGGCTTGAATGCTCAATGTAACAACAGTAAGAATAATATGTATAGATAGGAGTTTGGGGACGTTATACGCTCGGGGAGAGAAAATAAATATTGTGGAACATCGGCAAAACAACTGTCGATGCACCAGTCTCACCTGCATTAAATCCTTCAAATCGAAAACCACCCTTGCCTTTCGACGAGCGTACACGTGCTTCTGACCCATTCACATACAACGGCTGGCAATCGCCCCCTCTTAGGGCCTGGTGGTACCGTCACCGCTACCTGACCCGCAACCACTTCGACAACACCTACCTGACCCAGGTGATGAAGGAGCTGGACGACCGGCGGGTCCTCGCTAGACAACCCACCATCCTCCCCCTTCGACCGCATGAGAAATCTACTTACATCTACGTCTGACTTTCACTGTTATGACTCGGCATTGCTGTAGTATGTAGTCCACATAATCGGTAGGACAAAAGGAAGCGTGACATGCTCACGCACGCTATTTGCATTTTACGCGAC